TTTTTTTACTGTATGATGTTGATTTCTTTTTCTCATAGTGCAGGTAGCAACTTCTCAGAAGTGCATCCAACATAAACTAATGATGAATAGTGACAAACTGAATTGAAAACAAAGAGAACTTTTTGTTACTTGTTAACTATCCTTATCTTACAGATCAAAGTATTTGGATCGGAGACAAACACATTATACTCTATTTCCTGAACTACTTTCTGTTTCTAGCAGCCTGGCAGTGTTTCTTCAGGCGCTTCACCCAAGCTATGAAATGGTGAGTTTATCCACTCCAACAGGGAGTGAGGGATCAGCTTGGAGATGTTTCTGAACAGCACCCCAGGAATAGAAATCAATGGAGAAACTTCTCATAACTTTTCAGGAGGCTCAGGGGAAGCAAGTTAATGACTGTGCCTAAAGTTAGATGCCAGGAGCATTTTTTACTCCTGGTCTCTGAAGAGCAAGACCTTCCTCCAGCATTGATACCAATCTGCAGAAGAGAAAATTGAGGCGCATGGAGAGGCAACTCTGCATGGAAATGGTTGGCTGGAGACCTGAACCAGATATCTGAAATCCCATTCTGGTGCTCTCTCCTCAATCCACACCGTGCTGTGGTGCAGGGAAATCCACCTTCCTATGCTTGCTTTGTACATAAACATACAAGTTAATTTCCCAGACTTTAGAACCTGGCCATGTGCTGCAGAACTCTATGGATTATTGTTTCCAACAAGTAGGAATAAAAGGCAGAGCCTGCTGTATGAATGACTGCAGACCGTGTCCTGTCAGTGGCTGTGTGGCAGTGGCAGAAGCATCATCATGAAAACCCAAAGCAATCTTGTAAATCTTCATTAAAGTCAGGGAGAGTTTCAGATCTGTTATTAAATGCACAATTACACTCTGCAAGTAACAACAGAAGCAAATTGATAAAAACAGGGTAGGAGACAATAGGTTTCGAGCAAAGGAGACCACTAAAATATGTTTGTGTAGAAAGCTTGGAATAATATGAATAATGAACAAATTTGTAAAAATCAAAGTCTATTTGCAGATGAATAATAAACAGAGAAAAGGGCAGGATTGGTTGAATGAATTATGCATTATGAGTCATTTAGCAAGCACCCATATCTATAAAGATAATGGTTCTAATGTAAATAATAAGCCTTTAATATTTATGCTGCCATAATAGTCTGGGGAGTCTGTAATGATAGTTAAGAATTATACCTCTCCTCAGTGTTTTTCAGTGGGAAACAGGTTTATCACAATGTCACAAACCTAAAGCAGATTCATGCTAAGTTTTATACTTTAACTCCACTTTGGACCCCGTCTGCCCTAATGCTGGAGTCTGGACAGAACCACCACTTCTAATTGACAGCAATGCCATGGCAATAAAATCAGGGCCTTCTGAACTAGGTATCACAGAGCACTCAAACAGTGACAAAACTGGACATTTCACTTTCCTTTCTGCTTTGAGATAAGGCTCTCTGTACTGACTTAGTGCAATCTCAGCAGCGAGAGGAGAAATGAAATGAAAAGTGCCCTCCCCTCTCCTCCAAGCGCATAATTCTGTGTGGGAACAGGAGAGGCCCCAGAAAGCCCTGTACAATCACAGCTGGGCTGTTCAATGCCTGGCCCTGTGCACAGTCACACCTTGTTGCTCCTCTGCCACAAGAAAGGGCCACCCAGCCCAGCAGTCCCAAGGCAAGGGCAGAAAGGTTTCCATAATTGCTGTGTGTCATTCCCACCTCACGGAAATGCCAATGTGCCAGCACGGGCACGACCCTGCCTGGGCCCCAGCTGACAGCAGTGCTGGAAGTCTGGGAGTGACTGGGAAAGGATTGGGTTTCTCTACCCCCTTTTTGTTAAATTGAGGTTACAGCAGAGGAAAAATCGTTTATTCACAGGAGCAGAAGCAGCTGAATGCAGCACCATGCACCTGGCCCCTGAGCATAGCAGCAGAGGGCCCAGTTTTCCCGACCATTCTTTCATTCTCAGAGAGAGAATGCTGGTTCTTAAAGAATTTTCACACAGACCTTGAGGAGACTAGGTTGCCATGTCCATTTCCCTTCTGGACATGGATTTCTGCAAAACCTACTTACTTGGAGGTCTGATCTGGTACTTGGAGGTCTGATCCCTGGCTCTTAATTCAGATGCAAAACTGGCACATACTAATGGTGACACTATAATGAATTGCATAGAACCTGCAAAATATGTTGGGTTTTTTTTAAAAATAACTTGACCTGCAGGATATTAATATAGTGGTAACTACCCCTGCAAGATATAAAACTGGCACCAACTCTAAAAATTTCCATTAGTGTAGTAGGTTTCTAGGCCCAGTAATGGTCATTTCATCTGAACATGTGGAAATAAAACCAAACCATAATAGGACTTTAAAAGCATTCAATACATATTTGTCCATAAACACATCATATAAATAAAAACTCTTTCAAAAAAAGTGCCAAATGAATCAATGTGTATTCTATTATGGAATAATAATGTCCCTTACCACATGTGTTGCTGAAGCAAATAACTTTAGCTGGTATGATAGTATTTTCCATCATGTGGTACAGTTTGTATTTTCATCTATTGATTAAGGACCTGCCCCTGAGGAAGTTAATGTCAGGAGTTCTCCAAGATTAAAAGGAGAAGGAAAAATGTGTAAACGATTTGGCTGAAAATAAGGAAACAAATGTATTTCCTCCTCCCCTTTCTCCTAGCAAGAGTGAGTGCTGAATACAAAACTAGTTGAAGACAGTGGAAAGATTTGCTCCTTACTTCAGCAGCTTTGGGTCTGGCCCTAAGCATGTATGTGTGAGATAAATTTTGGCCCTGGAAGCCCCACCTCATACCTCCCACTGTGAACATGTCATCCTTCTGTGTGCTCATGCATGCCAAAGCTTTATCTCTTTTGAAATATTGCCCAGAATCAAGCTATGTTTACACAAGTAATAGGGAGATTCACTTTTATGCAATAATTTCTTCAATAGAGAGGCTGTCTTTCCGCAGTTGTACTTTGGACTTTGTTCCTAGTTTAGCTTCTGTTTTTCTAACTTGATGTTTTTATCCAGGTTTGACAAGAGGGTTGGATTTTTTTTTAATTTTTTTTAAGTTACACACCTGGAATTAGCTTTTCCTGCCAAGAATTACAGTGCACCTGGAAGTAGTAAATCATTTTAATCTGTTTTTTAGTGGTTTTGCACAATGGAATTGCATCTCTTTAAATCTTTCTTACCTTTTGCAAAACTAAATTGCAGCTCTAGACAGAGCATTTTATGAGTATGTAGATAGTGATATCATGAGATAGTTGTGCCCTACTAGTGACTGCCTCTACTGATCCTAGAGGCAGTTAGCTGAGAACTGCATCTCCGGGTTTCTTTCCTCTGTGGTGGCTCTGCTTACCTACATAACATATGGAAATGTGAGCATACACTTACAGCAGATTGTTTGCTATGTTTACACCAGTTCTAACACTAATCCCCATTAATGTTTGATATTGCTCCCAAAGAGTTTAAATAAATGTCAGGCCTCAGATCCATTGCATACGTGTTAGGCATCGTATAAACTTCTGATGGAAAGATACCGAAACGCTGTGGGGTGTCCTATTTTTAACATTACTTTTACTGGCTGCATTAACCACATCAATATATGCAAAGCCCTGCTGCTTTCATGATTTCTGTCATCACATTTAAGAGTCCTATTTTCAAGAAAAACATAAGCTAGTTTCACAGCACTTTAGAAGTCCACTGTCTTGCTTCTGCTCTCAGTTACTTCCATTTATCAAATGTGTGTGTGTGCGCGAAGTGAAAGAACAACCAGATGCACACTAACAAACAAAAACTTTTTTCCTCTCTGTTAAAAAATATCAGACACAGCCATACTAGCTGCACTTCACTGCAGAACAATAACCACCAGGGTCATGGCAAATTTTGCCTCAGGCTGTGTAGCCCATCCAGCAGCAGCCTGGGTGCCTCAGCTTGTAAGAAAATATTTAATTGTTGTGCAGAGAGACATGCAAGGGAACAGCCTGAGGACCACAGAAATGACAAGTGCCAGGCAGATTCCCAGCTCAAGCTGCTCTTTTGCCCAATATGAGCTATATATGCTTACTGGGATTTTGTATTACACTAGAGAGAAATCTAGAGACCTTCTTTCTTTGTCTGCCACATGAAGAAGGAAGCCTCCTCTGTGCCAGGCATTCCCTTTCTCTCTCACCTTCCTTTCCCAATTTCATTATTTTATATGAGTCTGTTTCTCATGATGAGTTTCTTTTTAAATTGCTATTTCAGAGGCTCAGCTCTGAGGCTGCAAAACATTCCTATCAACCACCACCACCTCTATCAGTCATATTTGGGATGCAACCACTTTGCATTTACAGGACTTTCTCATTATAGGTTTACATAGTGCCCAGTACAAGACCTAGATCTTCGCTGGAGCCTTTCTGAAACCTGTGTATTGTCATACAGGCAATTGCAACAATATTCAGCTACAAAAGTCACCAGCACAAATGAGCAACACTGTAGGAGTGTGCCTGGGGACAGCAGACAGTCAAGAGTAGAAAGTGTTTATTGAAACAGGCTTGTAATTGAACAGAGCTGATCTGCACCTTTAGGCTAAAGGCAGCTAATTCTCACTTTATCCAACCACAGAAAAAGTAAATAAAAGCTGTGGATGAAGCCATATCTCTTAAAATACAGTGTTGTTTAGTAACAAAAATGATTTGACTTCACAAGTTAATAGGTTTTACAGCAGGGGATAATTTTATGTTAAATGACTAAGCTGTGTCTTAACCTTTGCTGGGCTCATTATATCCTTTAAGTAGTTCAAGTTTCCAGATAACCAGCAGCAGAACCAGGTAAGCAGGCAAAATTAGTATGGCTGGGAAAATTTGTATCTGTCACACAGGTCTGGTTCCCACACACTCTGGTTACATCATTACTTAGTCTGTTAACTAGGAAACCAATTAGGCCTGAGAGCTACTGTCAGGTGACCAAAACACGAAAATGCACAAGAAACCCTACCCGAAAGATGGGATTTCAGCAGAGGCCCGCAGATAGCTGACTCCTCTTCTGCTGCACTGCAATTTTCGTATTTCGTTTCGCCTTTGCTTTCAGGCTGAGCTCTGAGGTGCCACAGATTGATGGTTGAAGGAGCCTTGTTTCTCCCCTCAACAGGTGTGCTGAGAAAATTGTTTCCTGCATCAAAAATTACACAAAATTATGTAATAATTTCTCTCATTCACTCTGGAAAATTTCCTTCTCCTTCACACCTTTAATTTACAGCGTGAGAACGAGGTAGTAGGTACAGAACTGAATGCTGCACTGCGGTTAACAGTATGTTCATCTTAAAGGAAAAGGGTTTATAAGACCAGGATGCAGTTAAAATTCAGGGCAAAAACACCTTCAGCAATGACTGTTGGTTTTCTGCAAATACTGAAGACATTTGTCCATGCACAGAGGAAGCACAGAGGTCTCTGGGCTCACCCACAGCAGAGAAGTACATGGGCAGAGGAGGCCAGTATAGGGCACTGGGAGGAAAGGTGAAAGCCAGTTTCCTGTAAAGCATACTTAAGAAGGGAACGTATGTCCAAAAAATAACCTCACCTCTATATTACATCACTATCTGGCTAAAGTTCAGCTTGCATGACCATAATACTTTTTTTTATGCACATGTTGTAGACACATATATATGTATAAAAATGTATATGTATTGCATACTACAAGTGTTGTGGATATTTTTTTCTAGCTTGCACATCTTTCCTGATTCTGGCATCACCTGAAGAGCTCACTGACCTGCTGTGTCCTTGCTCTTATCTACTGAAAACCTACAAACACCTCCAATACCTTCAATCCAGGCCAAAAGCACTAACAAGCCACATGCTCTTTCTCTCTGTTCTTGTTCAGATTTGTTTTGTGTTAGGACAAGGAGAAAGAGGGAGAGAGATGATTAAATCTCACCTCAGAAGCCTCAAGAAGAGACTTCATGAACCAGGGCAGAGCAGGCTGAGGGCACTGGGGTCCTCCCTGACTGGAGGGTGATACTTGAGTACCAGCACTGCTGTTTGATCCATGGCACAGTGCCTTTGGGCTAAAGGGTTTGCCCTAGTGTGGCCCCCTTCATTTCTGATGCCCTGTCATCTTTGGGAAAATTTTTTGAGGAATGGTTTTTAGAGGAAGCAAACTAATCAGAAATACTTTCCTTCCCAATGATTTTGTGGAGCAGACGATTTGATCAGTGTTCAGAGAAGAGCAAACCAGTCCCTGCCGGACGCCTGCCAGCTCGGGGAACCAGGCTCTCGCATGTTTTCCAGCACAAGCACCTCATTATTAATTCATGCTCCAGGTCCTCTGTACATGCTGTTACTAATATTAGGTTTCAACAGAGTAATGAGCAACAGCAATAGACTGACTATCTTAATATATTTTAAATAATGTTTGAAATATTAAATTTGAGTTTGGATTTTTAATTAGAGCCTGGGCAGGGTATTGACAATCTTCCTACTGTTTTGCAGCCAGCAAGCAAATAAGATAGGGATTGTTCTGATCTGAACACTGAAAGCCAGTCTGATTTAGGGGATGGATCTGAAATACAACACCAAACTTTAAAGTGTGAGGGAAATTTGGCTCTGGCTTCAACAGACAGACTTTGACCCATCCCTATACTAAAAAAGGACTTTTGATATGGGACTTTTGTAAAAGCAAATAGTTGTGAGGCCAGCAATTATGGATATGTTCTGGAACATCCTGTCACTGAGTTGCCCAGGGACAGCTTGGCTCTCAAGGACACCTCTATTATTAAAAAAAGGGGATATAGTGTAGCTGGACATAGAAAGAAGGGGTTGTTGTGGTATAAATATAAATACATAGTATAAATTGATACCTTTAGGACATATACAGTAGGAAAAAAAAATAAGTCGGGCAACCTGTGGGTCTGAAACCCTAAAGGGCTTCAAAGTCCTTCCCAGTTCTGTGCTCCAGGCAGGAGCATAGGTCAGCACCTTACCCTTGCTTGGACATAGATATATTAAAAGACTCATTTAAAATTGGAGCTGGGTAAAGAGCTAGAGCCATTTTCCTGTGAGCATACACATTTCTGAATGTGCTCCCTTTGAGAGGGGGTTTGCAGTGAAGATTTTGCTGTTCTGGAACTCACTCCTTCCACTTGGTCTGTTGGGAGTCTGAATACATTGACCTATGGGGCACATTGCGAAGCCTAACTATTTTCCCAGGATTTTTCTGAATGAATGACTTGAGTAGGTAGAGAGAAGAATGTTTCATTTGTACAGTACGTGGAGGCTTTTAATTAATAATGTTCCCATTTGAATGCCTATTGTATTTTTAAATGTGCTTTGTACATAGACCTAGAGCATCAGATAACTGCAGGGTTTTTTTTCCAATTAAAACAAAAAGAAAACCCACAACAATGTGCACTGCTGCCACATGTATTTTTGTGATATCTTTACACAGTGTCTAGCACAGTAGTCCCTGGTCTGGACCACGACTTCTCAGTGCCAGCACCTAGACAGAGCTGCCCAAGCTATGGCAGGTCTCAAGGAGATGAAGTTTCACACCAATTGGAGGGTTTGACACTGCTGATCATCGCTGTAAGGCTGGGGATGTTCAGCCAGTCACTGATATTAGAGAAGTGCCCAGGCTCCTCAGGGTGGCTTTACCTTCTTTCTGGCTGGATCTGGAGCTCTTGAGAGATTGGGTCTTTTCTTGGGTATGCTGGGCATTTCATGTTTTTATAACAAGAGAAACAGCCTGGTGAGTCTTTTCATAGCAGACAGGTTTTGTTTGTTGAAAATAAAGGTCTTTGTAGGAAATGAAGTTTGTACTGGTTCCTAAAGTTCAAGTAAAATTTTTTAATTTGTTTTTTTATTTTTTTTAATAAAAATATCTTCTTTTGGTAAAAAAGATACTCAATTTTGATATCACAGATTTCCAATTTTTTGTTTGCTCTGATCCTCCCCAAACACCCTGACATAGCTTGAAGATAAAACACTTTATATTTTCATTTTAAAATGTATCTGAATTTAAAATTTTCCTACAGAGATATTTATTTAGCTGTTAGGTCCAGTGGTCTGCAGGTGAAATCAGACACAGGAAATGCTTTTATATGGTCCAATTTTTTCTCCCTGTGGGAGATGCAGGCACCTCTGCTGTACTATGTGCTTCTAAAGCACGTGAGTACATCCTTCCGTGCCTGCTCACCACATTTTTCTGATTTCAGTCTGCTGACAGTTGCTTTTTTTTAAATACACACCTGGACCAGTGTGTCAGATATTTTGAGGAGACAGGTGAGGGCGCTGCCAGCAAACTGGAGTTTTATTGCACAACTCATTGTGTTTAAGCTGTTTTCTTGATGAAGAAGTTGTTCTGCAAAGACAAATATCCAACAGGCTTTTTCCACACTGTGTTTGTCCTGGTTTCACTTGTGTGTTTTACTGCTGGAGCAAACCACCACCCTTCCTGAAAACCTTAAAAACACCTCCTGCCACCTCTGCTTTTTCATTCCTTTTCACTGACTAGGCTGCCAAAATTGATTTCTGATTATTTACTGCAACATCCTTTTCTCCACTGCCATGAGGCCTTCCCTCCCTGATCAGGCAAGCACAGGGCAAAGGACCAGGTAAACTCAAACCTGTCTCCAGAACCTAAATGCAGAGCTCCTTTGAGAAACACCATGGCCAATCACACTGTTGTTCTTCCTCTGTGAAAACTCTGTGAGAATCTTACACTTAAATCAGGTATTGCACAAACTTCCTTATGTGGCTCACCACAACCCTGACCTGCACTACTCTTTATATCTATCTCACTTAAGAAAGACAGAAAGGTTTGTACTGAAATGTGAGAAGAGCTCAAATTTCTACAAATTCTGCCTTACATGACAATACACAAGGGTCAGCTACAAGGAGAAGGCAGAGTTTAGATTTAAACCAAGATGAAACATCACTTTCCAGAAGAGAAGAGCTGATGTGATGCATTATTCCACAGAGAAAGTAATCTATTCCAAGTACAGTGGTCAGCATCTTATTCTATTTCTTGATTTTACTATACATGGTGCATCTCCAACAGAATTAAGGGCCCTTAATTTTCCATTGCTTTTGCAATTGATGAAATCCCAAGAAAATTTTGGCTGGAACAAAAAAAATCATACTTTTCACCATGAATGATGGCACACATATGGGAGGAATAAACAGTTTCAGATCTAAAAGCCCTTCCTATATAAAATGTAAACCACAACAAACTGCTCTCAGGCAGTTAAGATTTACATCCAAAGGGATGAGGTGCAATCACACATTTAAAGTATCCAACATTTCTTAGTATAGATGTTCAGCTCTGCTTACTGATGCTGGCAATGAGATGCCACCAAGCAAAGAATAGTTTACTGCAATTGCCTTTGCCTTGAGGAGTCCTCTTTTAAGAAACTTATCTGAACTCAAGCAATGGTGGAGAATATTGTGACTGAATTATTCAATCTCTTTTGCATTAGAAATTTGTACACAAAGTCTGAGAGAGGAGTCCCTGCTCTTTGATTACGCTGAGTGTGAAGAGCTCTGGGACAGAGCGTTACAACAATGCTAGGAAATAACAGACTCCAGAGTGACTGAACTGACTCCATAGTATACAGCAGACAACAACTCTTCAAAATAGGCCACACAGGTAGTGATAACCCATTACAGATAGACACCTAATTCCCAACACTAGAAAAATATGAGTGATAATGAGAAATGTTTACAGTGGCTCACCATGGGTGTTTACATCAGTCAGAAGCAGATGTTTTTTCTCCAGCTAAGCTGGAGAAAACTATAGTTTTAGTGTTCTCAGGTCCACAGCACCCATGGATATTCAGACAATATCCCTGCTTGCTATGTCCATTCCCTTCTCATCTGGCTGTGAGGTGGTGAGATCTGTATCATATTTCCATGAGCTGCACAAATGCTGCTTCCAGATTCAGCTGCTGCAAAACATTTTACATGAGTCTGAACAAAGAGATTCCAGCTGGTCCAGGCTGAAGCAACATGTTTGCTTCCTTCTCCCTTTCATCTCTAAGCTCATTCATGCTGAGAGTGAATATAATTGCTCTCTATAAAGACATTCAGGTTAGGCACTAAAGCGAGAGAAAAGATACTTAAGCAAATGGACAATGACGACACAAGAACAAATGATTACTAATGAGTAATTAATAAATTCAACCCATAAATTAAAACTTCTGATTATCAAAGGACTTAAGTTCTGTACCACCTTTCCACTAAAACAAGGAAGAAAAGAAATAGAATTGTTTTGTGAAGCTTTATAAATGTTTGAGATACTATGAGATACAGTTGCTTACAGCAGCAGAGGAACGGACTTGGTAGTCTACAAGATCCCCTCCACTCCTATGCAAATAGAGAACACAAAATCTAAATCACTGCCTGGAGTTTATATTAGCCTTCTGTTTTATTTCAAGCCCTTTGGCATCCGACTTTTTTAATGTTCCACCAAAGTTGCTCCTGCAAAATCTCTTACAGTTTCTTGTTGATGTAAGGACCACCACATAATCATTTTTCTTTCTCATTTGCCAGATATCTATTCCTTGAGCATGAGCAACCTCATGGCTTACCTGCCTCAACTTCTGTGAAGGACTTTCTTCATCTGGCTCTTTCTCCTCTAGAAGTTCCACGTATTCTGTTGTGATTCTTTTCTCATGTCCTTTACATCTGATGTGAAAATGTAGCCCTTTACAGAAATATCACAGTAAACATTCTATTCCAAATTTCCTCCTTTTCTTTTTAGATTTTGCAATGGACAGCTTGCTACCACCAAGCACAGTAAATACTACACATGGCAAATAAGAGCCCTAAAACCTGTTTGGGGAATTTGTTCTAGTGTCAACAAGGAGTTTTTCTGAATTAGGCTGAACCACCCTGACAGAATCTTCTTCCTACCTGTCATACATATAATTTCTGATCTAAGCTTCTCTAGGTCCTCATGCTTCAGCTCTTTAACAGTTCTCTCCTATTACATGAAGCTAAAGGTCCTGCAATAATTATATTTTGTACTGATGCTGAGATTTCCTTTTTTTCCTCATTTTGATGACTGCAGATTTAACCTATTGCCTGTCATCCATCCATCCATCCATCCATCCATCCATCCATCCATCCATCCATCCAAAATGCTGCTGCAAGAAATATTTTTTGTTAGCTGATTTCCTTCTTTGGTGTCCTTCCAACTATATTTCCTTCTTTTGTCATCCAATAAAAGATCTTGGCTTTACTCAAAAACTATCTTTATTGACCTCCTGCATCATGTTGGACCCCTAGACATAAGCTCCCCCTCACGATCCACCCATACATGAGTACCTACCCAGACTTACTTGATTGATTTTCAGTTTTGTTCTTTTTTCTAGCCTTCATCTCCTGGGAGCAGCTCTGGTGACTTCAAGCAATCTCATTATCCTCCTTCAAAATGCTGACGTAAACTCTTCTGACAAACTACCTACAAAAAAATTGGACCAAAATTTTAAAGTTATGTTTCTATGATTATTGTTTATTAATGTAATCAATAGGTTTTGACTGTTTCTTTGTGCCTCCTCCTATCTTGTCTCATACGTACTTTGTATATGGCCCAGGGCAATGACTGGCCTCTTAATTTGTATTATGCAGGAGTTAGTTCTGGCTCTTGATAAAGTCCTGTGCTGATGCTCAGCTGTGACAACAGAAAAAATAATGCTGTTATATAATGCTGTTATGTCAGTTACACTGTTCTGTCTTTTGTTCCAACTACTGCCATTTCCTGTCCAACAGTGAGTACTGCTCAGGAGCTTCTGGTCTTTGATTTCTATACTGGACCTCGGGGACTCCCTCTGCTTTGCTGATGTTCCTCATAACGATTTTTTCTCTGGAAGAACAGAACTATCAATGCATTGGATGAAGAGCTAGGATATTTTTAGTGAGAAGACCCTGGAGGTGAGTTCAGGTCATCCAAAGAGCAAACTGAGTGTGTCTGACTGTGTTGGTATGGAATGAAAATAGAAAGGGAACCAGTGGAGTTGTGGTCTATGCCCAGGTCTTTTGTGGCCACGTTGCTGGTGAGGTCAAAATTTTTCACTCTTTTGGGAGTCCATTTCCATTTGTGATTGCCTTTGACATTTCAACTAAAAGCTTCCAAGGGAAGGGACAGTAACATAATGTTTTGAAGTCCCCAGCACAAACTCTTTTAAGTGCTCCTGTGACCTCCTGCACCACCATCTTTTTATAATGCAACATAATTAGACCCTGAAAAGTGGCCAGACAAAAAATCCTTCTTGCTAAGGGGGAAACTGCCTTCTTTTGGGAAAGATAGATATAGCACAGAGCTGGAAGTCAGCAGGTCCCATGATGATGGTAGGAAAGGGCAGCCAGCAGCCAGCAAGGCATTCAAGGGGACAGAAGGAAGGATTTTCTTTAGTCTGGACAGAATTAACTGCAATCCAAAGTTCCCCAAGTCAACTGTTACCAGGCATGGAAGCAAGGACCTGCCTGTAAGGATTTTGTAAGCAGGGAAAATGCTATAAATGACTGATTTTGATTTTAGTTCTTACCCAGATACTTTGTGTTTCCTCTCATCAAAAGATCACTCATCTTATTTGTGCTCTGTACAACCTGGCTGTGTGAATTTAAAGTCTGACAGACTTCTCTGGGGAGCTCTCTGTTAGCAAAGGTCTAGAAGGCAGCTCCATCTCAAACTCCGGCCAAACCAGAGTCATATCACACCTCCACAGTACAAAATCCTTGACCTAACATTTTTATTCCTTTCCATATGGTGGAGTAAGAGGTGGAAAATATATTAAATATAACATAGTATTGATCTTGGTAATACTGTACCCCACATACAAAAAGCACTTTAATGCCATAATGACTCAATTCACAGGGAATAAGTTCAATGAGAAAACACAGGTGTCTGCCAACCAATTCACCAGAAGAAGTTTGCCAGTTTGGCAACAGGGTGCAAAGACTCTTCCTGAGCTCTTTTCCTTCCCCACGATAGCCCTTAGGTAAAAGTTTGCAGGAAATTCAAATACTCGTGAGCTGGCGGAGTTGCTGCTTCACATGCCCTAACAAACGTAAACACTTCTGTTTCAGCACATCTGCCATTGCAATACCTACAGCTTTTCCAGAACCAAAGGATTAACTTTATTGTGCTTTTGCTCAGCAGACCTGGTAACACAATATTGTACTTCTAAGCAGACAGATTACTCACAAGTTTCTGGATGCTACATCTTTAGAAACTCACTCTACTTAAGATAAGTGTTGAATCTTGCAATCCCAGAAATATCCAACTGATCTAAAAAACAGTTATACCAACAGCCAGATGGATGCTATTTTTCCTCAGGTTATTTGGATATTCCAAAGTAATGGTTCTATTATTATTTTTTTCACTTTAATATTAAACAGATGCATCTTGTTTGTAAAGACTGTTATGAGCCACGTTTTCTTTGGATTTATAAAATAAAACAATAAAAGATGTAAGGAGTTAGAAGGGGTTTTTGTATTTATCATAAAAGGGAAAGAGAGACATTACATCAATATAATTACATATGTATTAAAGAGCACTTTATGGACTTGTACAGAGCCCCATTCAGCATTTCTAGAAACCAGGTGTAATGCTACAGACATCAATTAAGTTATTTTGGTTTTGATAACAGTAGATTCAAATCTAGAAATGTCATATTTGTGTGTCTGCTTGTGCAGCTGAGCACATCAGACACCTGTCATTAAATGCTGAGACTCTTACAGAAGCATTTTCCTGGAAAGTCAGGTGCCATCATAATTTCTGGCTTATTTTTCAGGATGGCCACCATTGTGTCCCAGTGTAGGGACTAACTATGAGAAGTGCTGAGATCTCCCAGTTTCCACTGCAGCAGCTGAGAACTCTGCTGTACATTGGCCCTGCTACCCAGTACTAGCAAAGCTCAAAGAGACTAAAAATAAACATGTTTCTGTACCAAAGGAAGGAAAATGTGATTGATGACCCTCAGAGCACTTTGTTTGCTCATCAGTTAGGAAGTTTCTCCCATAACTCTGCTCTCCCCATACAGATCCCCATGATCTCTTCTGTGGAATGGTTCATCCTTTGATCTAAGGAGAACCCAAACCTCCCAGTGACTATGGTTCACCAAAATGTCTACTGTAAGTGACTTATTTATTTACACAGACAAGAGGCAGTCTAATTGCAAAGGCTTGGACATAAACTGTATCCCTAAAGTAGATGTACAGTGAGGATATCCACCCAGCTGAAGGCGTTCCACTCCTCACGACCAAGGGAAATTTGCCAAACTGATGAGCTATTTAAGTGTTTTGTGAATAGGCATCCTTGAAATGTGAAATATTTAATCTCAAGAAGTATTGTTATTGCTGCTATTTATTTCACTTTTTCTCCAGTTACTTAATTTTGTTAGAATATAAGGATTTCTTCTCAATCAGATTATAAAACATCTTGCAGTATAAGTATAAAAGCTTAGGTTCAGATAGTGATAATTTTTTTAAACATTCATTTTGTCTGGGCTGATAATTGCTATGCTGAGTTCTCATTCAAAAGCAATACTATTATTATTGTTGTGAAATTCAAACATTAAGATTTCAAACACAATTGAGTGAATGACAAAAGTACAGTTTCCAAACTACAAAAATATATTTTGACCTTAGTTCTTACAAGTACTATGCAGCTAACATGGAATGGACCCATTCCATTTTAATATGGAAATATTCTTAACTGAGGAATTAGCACTTAGTCTGACTGTGAGGTAAACTGGGCTTATTTGGCCGAGTTCTGAGAGTTTAAATATCCAACCTGTGAGCCTGGTGGGCACACCATTGAAATGCACTTTTGAGTCCCTGTTGGCAACGTGCTGAGCATCCTCCCTTCCCAGGGCTTTAAGAAGGTTGAGGCTGCTGAGTACTTCTCAGAAGTTTGTGCTGCATCACAGATTTGCATCCATAGGATCACTGGACTGTGTGTGTGGGTAGAGCTCACTTTGCCATGCCATCACTGACAGTCCTAACACTGGCTGGCCTGAACTTTCGAGTCTTAGAATAAAAGGAGGTTCTGAATTCAGGTGATGCCATATGACTTAAAACTGTACCTTGCTACTTTTACAGAACAGAATGTCTCTGTCTCCATGTCTCTGAGACAACTTGAAATTTGCTTGTAAGTTCTCTCTCGGTCCTCACAAAATAGTTCCCTGTGCCAAATACCTAATTTACCAGTTCTGGATGCAGACACTTCATTGACTCAGTAGGGATTGGTAGTTAATAACTCTAAACTATATATAATAATAAATAATTCTAAATTATCTGAAGATACAATTCAAGCTGCTGAGCATTTCTAGACCAACCTCAATATTCTCTATTACAAGAGAATTCTATTCTTTAATACTCTACCATGAGTATGTAGGCAGTTCATCATCTGCATCTGTATGACCATATGTAATTTAGCTTGACAGGAGTTTGCTTCAGGCAGTATGGCAAAACCTCAGTAACATATATACAGAATAGAAACTAGTCAAGATGGCTAAGCTTCACAATTCCCCAATGGCATGGTGTTGGACAGGGGATAAAAATGGTGGATGTCACCTTGTCCCCCTGTTGTTACTATACAGTGTTACTGCCTGCAAAATGATCCCCTCCTGTCCTGCCAGAAGGCCACTGCATATATCTGCTTCTCTCTCTGCAAGAATGAACATGGTAAGGAACACCCACTTTGGCACAATGTAGGAGATGTGGGATGGGCTACAACTCCTTCTCTTTCAAAGGCACCAGCTGTGAGCTTAAAGAAGGGGCACAGCCCACCATGGCTCAACTTGCAACATGGGAACAACAGCCCTTCCTGCCAGGAGCTGGGGAAGGTGACCACACACAGGGTGTGATGTCTGGGGATGTGTTCATGGTGTGAGCATCAACCCCTAAAGTCAAGTTGTGAGTGGTGTGGTGCCTGTAGGACCCAGTTCCCCGTGCATTCTGGGGAGAGGGTTTATCCTTGTTCCATCAGAATGGACCAGTCTACATGGGATAAGTGCACTCTCAGCATCAAAGGGTATTTAAAGTTAATTGAGATCAAGTCAGGCCATCTGCCAGGCACCATGACAAATCCTCTCCATCCACTGTGCAGGGAGCCAAGGTCCTGTACATTTCCATTGCAGGTATTCCATTCTCTAAGCTGGCTGACCATTACAGACTTTGATGAGGTAGGCACTATGGATACTGCAGAGAGATGTTCTCAACTGTTCTAAAAGCTGCCAAGCACTTCATTTTACTTCAGTGTTCCATTACCTTGCATTTCTCCTATGGCTGTATTTGTTAGAGTTTTCCTACTGATTCTCCAGACTAGTTGTCCTCTCCATTTGGCAAAATTATTAGTCCAGACTACAGACCCAGTTCTGCATTAATTTTTCAGCTCTGCATATAATGATAACACTAATAAATATATTCTATTCCAACAGCATTTATCCAAAATTAAGATGGAAACCTAACATGCCCAGCTGGGAGCACAGCAGCTTACTATTAGTTTTATAAAAATACCCAGTATAGATGTGAATCTATTTTGCACAGTTAGGTTTTTTCTTTTAGGGAAAAAATAAAATTCAAGATCAATCTCTGTGCCAGAAAAAAAGGACAATGCAAACAGATGTGAGCATTGACTTTTCTGGCCCTAGCTTTGGGAAAGTGCTT